TGAGGTTGCGCTTCCGCTGAGGGGCCGCCCTGAACAGGCATGAGTGGGACCCGAGGGTGACAGGCAGTGAGCGGGTGAGCGACATGGAAGAGCGCTCCAGAGAAGGGGGGCCGTCAGAAGACTGACAAATGGCCTCTCAGAACCTCAGGCAACCAGCCCAGGAAGGTAAAATGTTATAGAAACAGCTCCTGTGCGGCTGTCCGCAGGCTCTCAGGCGCCATTCGGTTAAACACCACGTAGCCTCGGCGCTCTGGGGAACTAAGGACACCCGTGGCCACAGCTGGGGCAAGGCTGTCCTGAGGGTAAAGCCTGGATTGAGGCGCTGGTTAAACGCCCGCCAGGGTGCCGAGCGAGAACGAGGACGGGCGGGGGGAGCGCCGTGCACGCCTGCGCTCCCCGCCTGGGAGGAGCCAGTGCTGAGCTCACAGCGCGCCTGTGTGACAGCATCACAGCCCGTCTACAGCGCCAGCCACTAGCAGGTGCTTGCAGGCGGCTCTCGGAGGACACGGGGACAGAAATCAGAGGACAGAGAGCAGGCAAGGGCAGGTGGAGAACATCTGTCCTGGTGTCTGTCTGGGTGAGAACGAGGGTCTGGAAGACGGCCAGGTCCAGTGGCCACGTGTTTACCCTCAGCACGCGGCGCCGCGTCCAGCACGAGGCAAGAACCAAGACGTGCTAACGCCCTCCCGGGGGCTGAGACACAGCCAGGGACAGACAGGGGCAGAATCACTCCCAGCTCCATGAGCCACCGTCACAGACGACATCCGAACAAAACACGTGTCAACCCCACAGGGAAGTGTTAGAAAACCAGGGCACGGGCACAGCCGCAAAGCCACGGAAAGGCAGGGCCTATGTGGGCCCAATTCAGGAGGGACGCACTCGGCTACAGAGCAGGACAGTGTTGGCCCTGGGCCTCCAGGTCTCCCCCCGGGGCCCTGAGGACAGAAGTCAGGGCAGCTCCATTCCAGTGGGCCCTCCCGGACACAGGAACTGGCACAACAGCCTCGGCGAGCCTGTCCTCATGCCCTTGACAGTCCTTCGACCTCTGACCCCTCCCACGTCCCCTCACTCCGAGGGCCACCTGACAAGCCCCTCTGCCCACCCTGTGGCTCACTCGGTCCCCCTGCGCCCTGCTAAGCCCAGAACCCCCCTTTTAAAGGATTTTGGAAAAATCTTTTGAAGTAATTTTGGCAAAAAAAAAAAAAAAGAAATTTTAGCTATCACATGCTCTCAGCCAGGGATACGGCGAACTAGAGTCCACACAGCAGCCTGGCCGCCACCTGTCTGTAAATAGAGCTCCGTGGCTTACACCTGTCGGCGCGGCATGCGCGCCCTGGAGCAGCTGGGGAGCCACCACCGAGACCACGTGGCCCGCACGCCAAATATTGACCCTTGGGCCCTGGACACAGTCTGCCGCTGCTCACACGAGCAGGGTTAAGGGAATCAGAGCAACATTTTGGTCCCGGCCGGTACCTTTGCTGAAGTCCTGCGGGTCCAGCGACAGGCTGTAGCCCGGCAGCGTCTCCAGAAGCAGCTTGTAGCAGGCCCTCCAGCCGGGCTCGGCGATGCTGGGCGCCACGCATTGCATGGCGGCCACGCGCTTGAAGAAGGCGGACTTGCGCCGGAAGCCGATGAGCTCGTAGAGCTCGGAGAGGACGCTGTAGCGCTGGATTTTCTCCTCCTCGGAAAGCTGGGGCACGGGGAGGAAGGGAGAGGCTTTGAAAGACACATAGAAACTTTTTTTTTAAAGCTTTTTTATAAAACAGTGACACGATGAAACGTGAAGCAGGAGCAGGTGCCCACAAGGCAACAGGACAGCAGTGGAGTCAGTGGGTAGAAGCCCTGACCCTCTGAGGCCACTGACCTGGAGCCAACCCGTCCCTCCGCGGGAGAAGCCCAGACTCCCAGGACAAAGACATCTGCTGCACAGCGCGTGTGCACGCACACACGCACACACACACACACATATGCACGCACACACACGGCGTTGGCTTCGAGCTCCTTCATTAGAAAAGGAACGTGGGTTCATCAGACCCTGGGATGTGGGCAGGACTCTCAGCAGATACAAAACTCAGCCCACACAGTGTGCAGAGCCAGGTGACCCGGCAATGGGCTGTCGGCAACAGCAGCCTCACTGAGAGGAAGCCTTCCTGGCGCACAGTCTTCTAAGCCCAGACCTAACCAGACTCTCCCGACCACCCTATGGTGTGACGACGTCTGTGTCTAAGCACGAACTCTATGCCAGCAAACATAACGTACTTATTTAATCATTGCAACAATCCCATGAGCTAGCTGAGGAAATATGAAGCTCAGAAAGGAATTAATCGTCCGTGCAAGCCACACAGCCAGGAAGTATCAGGCACGTCCTGAGTGGGTCCCCCCCCACAGGCCCACACGCCCACTGCAGGCCACACTGCGTGAGGAAGCCTTGCCCATCAACCCGTTTCCCAGAGAGTTCTGTGAGGACAGAGCCCAGTGTGGATCCCTGCCACCTGCTGCTCTCCTTCAGCCCAGCCCCGTCCTCTCCCCCCACCCCCACCCCACCGCCCTCACCATGCCCACTACCATGCCCTCACGTGGGACCCCATTAGCTCTCAGTGACCTCAGTGGTCTTCCTGCCAGCTTCCTCTACCTCCCTCCCTCCAGACACTTGCAGCTGCCAGGTAACATTCCCAGGTCACAGTTCAGGACCCGTCACCCACTCCCAGACACACGAACATGGAGCACAAGTGCCTTCCCTGGCAGGCCAGGCGCCCGCGAGCCCACCCAGCCCGCCCTGTACCTCCAGGTCCCACCGCCTACTGCGAACATTTCCCACGTGCCAAGCAGTGTGCCAAGCCCTTCATACGCATCATTACATTCAGAGCTTGTAACGTGCCAGGAAGAAGTGAATGCTGTCATTCCCAATATGCAGATTCGCAACAAGGAACACACTTGGTCAGGAACAAAAACCTTGTGCATTTCAGAAAAACTGCAGACCCTCTATTGCGTTATTGTAAATTCCCAGCAGGGCTCATTAGTCTGCTGTCTGCTCATCTGGCAAGCAAACAGCCCGATGAGCCAACTAAAGCCGAGTGTGGTGTGGGGACAACATTCACCCCACATCAGCACCCGCTTCCACGCTGGCCTCGGAAAGCCTGGTATCGTCCCTCTGGCGTGTCTCTGCTGCCCCCTAGTGCTCACCTCGAAGATCAAGCAAACAGAGCAAGAGTTGTTCCAAACAGCAGCAAATTCCCACATATTTTAAGTAAACAGCGCAGCGTTTCAGTCTGGTTGCCCTACCACGAAAATCCAAGTTAGCTAAATGTCTAAATCTTCCTAGACTAGGAATTTTGGGGTTTGGCATTAGCAACCAGTAAAAAAATTTCCTCATGATTTTGTCTGATTAAAAACACATCCAGATTCGACGGAGGCAGCACTGTGGAAGCTGCTGTGTAAAGAGGACTGGCATCCAGACGGGGTAACAATGGCAGCTGCGTCACAAGTAACAAACGTCAGGTGAGAGGCACACAGACCGTTCAAGGTCGCAAAGCTGTGAGAGGTGAAGTTGCTTCTCCAAGCAAAAATTAAAAATTTGGAAGGAGAGCGAGTCCTGGACTTTGAAAGTGAAATACTGTAACATAAAGAAACAGCATGCCTGGCTGGTGTTGCTCAGTGGTTGAGCATAGACCTATGAACCAGGAGGTCAAGGTTCGACTCCTGTTCAGGGCACATGCCTGGGTTGCAGGCTGGATCCCTAGTAGCGGTGTGTGCAGGAAGCAGCCAATCAATGATTCTCTCTCATCATTGGTGTTTCTATCTCTCTCCCTTCCTTTGTGAAATCAATAAAAATAATTTTTTAAAGAATGATGCACAATGACCACACTCAGGATGGCGAGTTCTGACCCCCAAGTTTCCCCCACCCCACCCTGAATCCCAGCAGTGTGGACGGATCAGTGATAACTAAGGAACAGGAGACTGCACTCACTTCCACCTCAGGGGAGGGGGAGGGTTTGGGGGCGGGGGGCTAAGACACCCACCTGTCGGAGGTTAATGTAAACGGCATTCTGGAGAAATTCGGAAGCCTCCATGCTCCGCTTCTGAATGGCCAGGACACGCACAGCTTTGACGCACGCTTCCAGCTCAATCACTCCCGCATTCTTGTACTGCAGGGAGAGAGGGCCCTCCGTCAGAAAAGAGGAAGGAAGATGGTCTGCCCCTCACGGAGACTCGAGGACCTGCAGCAGCAGCACCCAGCAGGTACCCTGCCCAAGGGGGCAGAATGTGCTTCAGAATGTCTATCCCTGAGGGGGACAAAAGGAGGGGACCTACGATGCCCATGTACTAATAAATATGTTCGCATCTGTTCAACTGATACAACCACAATAGCTGGATGTGTTACAAAACTTCAAAATGTTATCAATGGCCACTCTGCTACTCAAGTCTGCCAGCTCTCCTCTCTGAGACGCTTTTAGGATCCCCCTCTCACTCCTGAGCTTTCAGGCAGCGAGTTAATCCATGTGACTTTGTTGCAAAAAGCCTAGCTCCCTGTATCAAATCCATGTGACTTTGTTGCAAAAATTCTAGCTCCCTGTATCAAATTCATGTGACTTTGTTGCAAAAAGCCTAGCTCCCTGTATCAAATCCATGTGACTTTGTTGCAATAATTCTAGCTCCCTGTATCAAATTCATGTGACTTTGTTGCAAAAAGCCTAGCTCCCTGTATCAAATCCATGTGACTTTGTTGCAATAATTCTAGCTCCCTGTATCAAATTCATGTGACTTTGTTGCAAAAAGCCTAGCTCCCTGTATCAAATCCATGTGACTTTGTTGCAATAATTCTAGCTCCCTGTATCAAATTCATGTGACTTTGTTGCAAAAAGCCTAGCTCCCTGTATCAAATCCATGTGACTTTGTTGCAATAATTCTAGCTCCCTGTATCAAATTCATGTGACTTTGTTGCAAAAAGCCTAGCTCCCTGTATCAAATCCATGTGACTTTGTTGCAATAATTCTAGCTCCCTGTATCAAATTCATGTGACTTTGTTGCAAAAAGCCTAGCTCCCTGTATCAAATCCATGTGACTTTGTTGCAATAATTCTAGCTCCCTGTATCAAATTCATGTGACTTTGTTGCAAAAAGCCTAGCTCCCTGTATCAAATCCATGTGACTTTGTTGCAATAATTCTAGCTCCCTGTATCAAATTCATGTGACTTTGTTGCAAAAAGCCTAGCTCCCTGTATCAAATCCATGTGACTTTGTTGCAATAATTCTAGCTCCCTGTATCAAATTCATGTGACTTTGTTGCAAAAAGCCTAGCTCCCTGTATCAAATCCATGTGACTTTGTTGCAATAATTCTAGCTCCCTGTATCAAATTCATGTGACTTTGTTGCAAAAAGCCTAGCTCCCTGTATCAAATCCATGTGACTTTGTTGCAAAAATTCTAGCTCCCTGTATCAAATTCATGTGACTTTGTTGCAAAAAGCCTAGCTCCCTGTCCTCTACTGAAAGGTTTCCGTCTTTCTGATCTGCTCTTTCCCAGCTACTTGATCCTGCTTCTTCAGTCCTGGGGTGAAGGACAGATGGAGACGGAGAGAGAAAAGGCCCTGTGAGCTTCCCTTCACACCTCCGTAAAAAGCACCCATGAAGCAGGCAAGGACTTCGCTGCCATCTCAGTGACTAAAAACCAAGGCGGTGCTTCTCCCTCAGAAAGTGGGAGGCAGCCTGGCGTGCGTGTGTACAAATCAAATACAATCAAATCCCGGAAGTGCACAGGTATGTTTTATGTCGCTGTCAATTCCCGGTGATGGGCCAGCCCCCAGGGCAGCTCTAACCAGTGTCTGGGTGGCTCAGGAAAGTCCCAGCCTCTTGCGGTGGAGGAGGGGAACAGGAAAGGAGAAAGAGGAAAATGAAGCAAACGAATAAAAACACAGCTGGGAACAGGCACGGCACTGATCTTCTTTTCCTAGTTGCATCACACACACGAGGACCAAGAAGTCTTGCAGAAAACGGGGGTGAGGATGAAGACAAGAGGACCAGTTTTTCATGAGCAATAGGATGAGGCTGGCACTGTGGTTGGCTGTATGTGCGCATGTACCCTGGTTACAGAAACCTTGGAATGCCCACCCTGAGCGAGAACACTGGCGCTCAGTGCGGTCGTGTATGCTGACTAACATCAGATGTGGGATGACCCTCGGGCTGTCAGACTCCAGAGTCCACTCTCTCCTCTCCAGGCCCCACTGTGCCCGTGCAGCAAGCCTTTCCCATGGAGGTGACGTCTGCAGTTCTCATTGGGACAGTGCTCTGGGCAGCCACTAAGCTTTATTCATACTCAGGGGCAAAGCGGACCCACAACAGGGCTTTGCCATCAAGGCGGGAGAGCGCGGCTCCTGCTCATGTCAGAGCCGCCTGGTTTACCCAGGGTGCTTCGGGGGGTGGGCAGGGGCGCAGTCCACAGGCAGCCTCTACGGGGCTCAAAAACCTACACACGCCACCCCCCTCTCTCCATCTGTCTCCCCAGCAGCAGGACTCAGCTCTGAGCACTTTGATCATTGGAGAGGAACCTGTGATGAGTGTAAACGCATAGGGAGACCTGCCGGAGTCGCGGAGAGAAAGAAGGAAGGCACTCAGCTCTGCCCGCTGTGAGACGGGAGGAGGCTGAAGGCGCACTGCCGGCGGAGACGCCCAGGCCGCGCACCTTGCCGTAGTAGGAGATGGCCTCCTTGTACTTGTCGATGATGTCTTCGGGGCTCAGGCAGTTCTTGGCGCGTCCGATCTCAGCGCTGGTGTCGGGGTTTATGCCGTTGGTGGTGAGGGCACCTGCACACCGAGACAAGGGAAAGAAAGAATCTTTTGCTTTTCAGTCTCGTTTCCTTGTGAGTCTAAAAGAGGGGCACACACAAGGTAACACATCGCCTGCTGAAATGTAAGTAATGAAATCATTTGAAAAGTCCGCATAGCTCATATGCTCCCTAGAATAGTCTCACCACCCAAGCATCGTATTAAATGTTAATTAGCTCACAATACGTTTTCCTCCCTGTTGAAATTTTTCTCAAAGAGCCTGAAATGCATTCTGTAGAAGCAGCACGCCTACACTAACTAGCGAGGTGGACTTGAACACCATGCGGCCAGCACGCGTTACCTCCCGGCCTTAAGCTCCGATAGCCGCGGCCACTGTGTCCTGAGACAGAGATACACTGTTTGAAAGCATTTCCAACTGTCCAGCACTCAGAAAAGAATGTAACTTACAAACACCAGACCTTCCTGTGGCTGCCACGCTCTGTGTTTAGCCAACCTCTGTGAACAAGCGGAACCCCCTAATCCCTGAGCCTCACACTCGCATGGTGGGGGGAGGGTCCTCTACAGAACGTAACCATCGACACACACACACTGCCAGGGGACCAAGGGAGAGAGTCTTTGAGTTCCTGGAGCACTCAAACATCCATTCTCTGGAGCCACGTGTTTATCTCACAGACAAGCATCTCCCACAAGCCCTGTCTTCTTCAGGTCCAGGGGGAGGCCCGGCTCACGTGTGCTGTGGGTCATATCGCTCACAGCCCCTCACACTGCCCGCCACGCCCCTGCGAGCCCCTCCTCCCTGCTCTCCTCCTGGTTCCGCCTTCTCACCTGCATGGTTAGTGTTCTGTACGCTGCCTCGCATGATGTGTGGAACAAGACACAAGAATGAGTGGACAGATAAATGGATAGACGGACAGAGAGATTCCAAGAGACAGAAAGAAAATGTCCTGTGTCAAATCCCCCTCCAGTCAGGGAAGAAAGAGCCACACGGAGAACCGGGAAGAGGCAGGTGGCTGGGGATTCTGCTTCCCGCAGATTTTGTGAAAATCACAGCAAGAGATGAGAGAGCAGAACTATAAATAATAAAAGAAAGCGTGCTTGAAAAGATGTTGAACAGATATACTTCCTAAAGCAGCGGTCGCCAGCCAGTGATCCGCGGACACTGGTGGTCCGTGAGGCCCGAAAGGGTGGTGACCACTGTTCTACAGAACAGACCCAAATCAGCGGGGCCACTGCACGGGGCTGGGCGCCTGCAGACGGAGGCTCTGCATTACAGGCGACTGCACGCCATCACAGCACAGCCAGGCACTTGGCCTTCCCAGGAGCCAGAGCGAGGGGAGGTGTCCACGCTCACAACCCCCACAAGAGGAGCTCCCAGCATGCCCCTGCCTGCAGGTGAGGAGGCAGGTCCAGGAGCGGAGTCTTCCTGCTGGCCCTCAGCGGACACGGGCTCGAGCTCTGGGGTTCACATGTCTAACACATGTGTCCTGCCACAGTAACACTGAATAAACGGCAGGTCCCCTCGATCTATCTCATTAGCCTGAACAATTTCTATTGTTGAATTTTGCTGTTTTCCTTTGGAGAAAGGAAAGGGAAGATCATGGGGGTCAGAAGGAGGGGGTGCTTCATTCCTCATGTGGTACCTCATCTCATCCCAACAGCACACGATCAAGAGGAATCACCTACAGCCTGGCCGGTGTGGCTCAGGGATTGAGCATCGACCTATGAGCCAGGAGGTCAAGGTTTGATTCCCGGTCAGGGCGCATGCCCAGGTTGCAGGTTGGATCCCCAGTGGGTGTGTGCAGGAGGCAGCCAACCGGTGATTCTCTCTCACCATTGATGATTCTATCTCTCCCTTTCCCTTCCTCTCTCTCAAATCAATAAAAACAATTTTTTTTAAAAAGATGAATCACGTCCAAGTGGAGTGGGGATACGGTGGGAGAGATAACAAGAATGACACTTCTCTGGGTAGACCTCTTATGTAGTTTCGACTTTTGGAACTCTGTTTACGTCTATGTAGTAAAAAGTATCAATCAGCCCTAGCCAGTTTGGCTCAGTGGATAGAGCGTCGGCCTGGGGACTGAAGAGTCTCAGGTTCGATTCCAGCCAAGGGCACATGCCCAGGTTGTGGGCTCGATCCCCAATAGGGGGCGTGCAGGAGGCAGCTGATCAATGATTCTCTCTCATCATTGATGTTTCTATCTCTCTCTCCCTCTCCCTTCCTTTCTGAAATCAATAAAGAAATATATATATTTTTAAAAGTATCAATCAATAAAGATAGGGAACCCTATGCTGGGATACAAACAGGAACCATTAACTGTATTTCAAATAAATAACATAATGACACCCACAGGGAGGATTAAGGAACAAATCCAAGCAACTTCGAATGCAGGGCCTTGTATATTTACCGTAAGTATAGAGACAAAAGCACCACAGACAACCCTGACTTCTACTTCGATGTTTGTTTTTACAGTGATACCAATTAGCAATCTGAAGCTACTTTCTGTGTATGGTAAGACTGAGGAATCTAGCAACTATATTGATCATCTCAGGAGCCAGATGTCTCACTGTTGAAGAAGGAAGCGGTTTAGATAAAACAGGAAGACTGGAAAAACCCTGGGCCTGGCGGCTGGAACTGGAGACAACAGTGTGACCTTCTCACAGGGCCTAGAAGCGACGCCCCTCAGTGCAAGAAGCATTTCAGCCCAGCCGGTGTGCTCAGTGGTTGAGCATCGAGCCAGGAACCCACAGGTCCCAGGTTTGATTCCCGGTCAGGGCACATACCTGGGTTGCATGCAGAAGGCAGCCAGTGAGAAACATCAATGATTCTATCCCTCCCCTTCCTCTCTCTCTAAAATAAATTTTTAAAAAAACACTTTTTTAAATAAGCATTTTAATGCCAAGATTTAAGTTTCTAAATATCATCCTCCAAGAAAATGAACTAGAACATCTTAGACAACTGTCTGGTTTCAGAGCTGGGACAGGGAAAGTACAAAATGAAACTAAATTCTTGACCCAGAAAAATGAGTAGAGCCAGCAAACACCAACAGTGCCCCCCTCACCTCCCAGCAACAGCAGGGCACACACTGTCCTCGGGCACGGAGCATTCTCCAGGATAGGCCTCGTCATGGTTACAAAACCAATCCCAATAACCTTAAATGCACTGGAAAAGTCCTCAACAAAACACTAGCAAACTAAATCCAGCAACGAGGATTGTGCAACATGACCAAGTGGTATTCATCTCAAGAACGTCAAGTTGGGTTAAGAGGCCAAGATCAATTAATACGATACACCCTATCAGTAGACTGAAGGACACGGACTACACCAGACACAGTGAGATTCTTAAATGGAATTCTAAAGTTAGAACATTGATGGAAAGCTACAAAAAGGCTCTGAAAAACAGGTATAGTTAGAGAGCAATTTGCATTTACTGTGTGAAGGTACTGTGTGGGTGCCTTTTTTTAAAAAAGCAGCTTTAATACAATTCACACATTTAAAGTGTACCATCCGGTGGTTTTTACTACGCTCGGAGCTGCACATCCATCCCCACCATCAACCTGAGGACGTTTTCATCACCCCGACAAGAAGCCTGTACCCACAGCAGTCACTCCCCCACCCACCACCGGGCCATGCCGCCTGTTCTGGACCTTTCGAATGGTTCTTTCACCAGCAACTCAGGTCTCCTGAAAGCAAAGCATGTTTTTCTTCCTCTACACGATCGACAGCCTGAGCAAGAGGTGATCACGGAACATGAGCCTCAGGAAAGGAGCCGACACGGTGTTAAAACAAAATGATCTGCAAACCTGAAGCGATTTCATGTCAGAATCAAGAGACACGATGAGATGGGATCGATGTCTGGGCCACAAAGTGTGTGTAAGCATGACTGTCTGATTCTAACCTCAAAGGCAGGCAGGGTCTCAGGTTTTTATTATTTACCTTTTGTCATTGTTTCGGATTAAGCCAGAAAACAACAGAGCTCATTATGAATAATTAGGCACTGCAATAAAGAGGTTAATCACAGGAGGAGTGAAGAGGGAAAAGGCAAACCGGGCTCTGGAAAAAAAAAAAAAGCACCATTTCTTTCGGTGCTAAGAGCACACACAGGAAACACAAATGCATGTTGCGAGGAGCGTGGACCACAGTCAGAGCACAGTCGTTTCGGTGAATCAACTGGACAGGCATGCCCGTGCATTCAAAGCGCCTGGCAGGCACACGTGCGGGCCATCCACGCAGCCATGCTAGCGGGGCGGGAGCTCCTCCACAGACAGCATAGAGCAGTCGGGCCCATCAAGGGGGACCAAGCAACAATCAGGGTTGCACAGTTCTGATTTAAAGCGGCTTAAATCAGAATGCCCCACAGATCGCCCTGCAGACATTGTAACCGTTCATTCACCCACCGAGAAACAAGCGCTTAGAGAAAGGCAAACACAACCAAAAGAAACGAAGCACAGAGACGGAGTACCTGGGTCAATGAGAACTTCCTGTGCGCCTGGAAGAGAGAACAGAGCATGGCGTTTTATTGGGAAGACAAACTGCTTTCAAAGGTAACGACTACATCTTCTTTCACAATTCGCACAGCCTTCAAAACCCGAGGTGCTTCTCTCAGATCAGAAAAGCAATTCTGATTTACAAGTTCAGTGCCTGTTAGCTTTAGAAGTTTTTCCATGACTTCTGCACGGATTGTGGGGTGCCGCCTCATCTCTTTTATCCCCACTGCCTAAGCTCATACACCCCAGTTATTCTCCAACAAGTATGAGAATTTGTTACTTCCACAAATAAGCCAAAGGACAAAGGAATATGGATTCATTTGTGCAAATGGGGGCGGTGGTACCAAGAGGCTATATGGAACTTACCATACGCTACCTGAAATCTTACACACACACTCATACTCACACTCACACTCTCACACTCACACTCTCACACACTCACACTCTCACTCTCATACACACTCACACACTGACACACACACACAAATTCACACACAGAGGTACTGCACGCTTCAAACTAAGGATTTCCTACTTTTAGACAGTAACTTTGCAGTTAGTTTAAAATACAAAATAGTTAATTCTCTTTTTGGAAGCAGCTTTGAAAGCCCTGATCACCTGGTCAATTGTCCAGTGTCCATGAACTCCATCCGCCTTCCTGTGGAACATGGCTTCCCATGATGACAGAACACGCCCTAAGAACCATGCTTGCCATCAGCCAGGATCATTTGTAACCACACTCACAGGACTGAAAAAGCTATGTCCCAATAGCATGTTCCTACTGAAACTGCGTGTGTATTCAAGTGTCTATGCAGAGCAAGGCCCAGGGCACGGTCCTCGGGGAGAGCTAGTTGCTGCACTGCAATCTCCATTTCCACACACAGACTAGAGAGCCCTGCCGTCCCGACGCCCGGGCTGTAATACAGTAAAGACAGGTGCCTTCTGTGGCACAGCCGTGCGCCCAGACAGAGTGTGACCACCACCATGGGTACCCACCCTCAGGAAGGCCCAGTGCGGGCGCCTCCAAGCCTGAGTGTGACAGGGCAGGTCCTCTCGCCAGAAGGCCTCTGCCGGACGCTGGGGAACCTGTCTAGTGCCGGGGCACAGTATCAAGATTCCCATTTTCCTGTACCCCTAACGTTCATGGGTAAGGTGGCTTCATCAGTAACAAAAGTCACATCTATCCCCAACCACCTACTCTTTTGTCTCACCTTTCAAATGGCTGGTGGATAAAGTAGGAATGCCATTATTGGGCCCCCTTGTCTCCCACCATACTCTAATTAACAAATAATTCTGTATTTGTGACTGTCATATCTCTGCGGCTGCTACACTGTGAGAGCAGGAACTATGGACCCTCCCAAGTATTTCATTCATTTCTTAATTGGATCTTTGTTCATAAAATCATCTTTTCCTATTTAATTCCTTCGTTGTTGACAAAGACTATAAAATGATGACTCCATACAAAATAATAGCTTGAGCTTATTCCTCTTTTATGAGATAACCACAGGGCTAAACACTTCACATCATTTCTCTCTGAATCTCACAGTTCTACAAAGCAGGTAGGAGCACCCCTGGTCCACAGATGGGGAGAAGACTCAGAGAGAACTGCCTCATTTACCCCCTGGCGTGGCTCAGGGGTTGAGCATCAACCTGTGAACCAGGAGGTCATGGTTTGATTCCCAGTCAGGGCACAGGCCCGGGTTGCAGGCTCAATCCCCAGTAGGGGGTGTGCAGAAAGCAGCTGATCCATGATTCTCTCTCATCATTGATTTTTCTATCCCTCTCTCCTTCTCCCTTCCTCCCTCTGAAATGAAGTTTTTAAAAAACGTATTAAAAAAGAACTGCCTCATTTGAATGGCTCACAGTGTCGTGTGTTCAAACCCAAGTCAATCAACCAGGCTGCCCAGGTACAAATCACCTCCCTCATTCACCCGCACAGTGGGCCCAGCGTCCACCGACTCGGACCGGGCTTTCTTCTGAGAGGTGCTCCTGAGACCGTTTCTATCTCCTCTCTGACATCACGGTTTCTAATTTTGGAAGAAAGACCCAATATGGCCATTGTTCACAGCTGTCTAAAACTTCGCGCTGAGGTGGCAGAATAAAAATAAGCTATAACTAGAACAATTGCTCCAGGTATCCAGACCCTGAGCTATTCTGAAGCAGTAAACACAGAAATCAAGTAAAGGGGACATGGTGAAGTCTTCTTTGACAAACGCAGAAGCTAAGGCTTTAAAAGGTGCAACAGCACCACCTATGGCCAAAAGCGGTCTCCCAGGTTGCAGGAGAAGGGAAATGATGGGGAAGGTTTTTAAAAACAGGATGTTCAGACCTAGCGGGTTTCGCTCAGTGGGTAGAGCTTCATGCCCAGGTTGCAGGCTCGATCCCCAGTGTAGAGTGAGCAGGAGGTAGCTGATCAATGATTCTCTCTCATCATTGATGTTTCTCTCTCTCTCTCCCTCTCCCTCCCTCTCTGAAATCAATAAAAATATACTTATTTAAAAAAAATAAAAACAGGGTGTTCAGAGCCAGTGCTTAGCTTAGCACCTGCTTAATTCTGCTGCGGAGAAGAACATGCTATTGGGCACTTGATCTATAATCTTCAACACGACCGAGTACTAACAAAAGACAGGCTCAGGGAAGCGATAGTACAGATTAGGGGCCTGAGACCAGGGAGCCTGTCCCTCCAGCAGTCAGAAGCGCAGCTGCCCCTATCCTTACATCCTGCACTCCACCAGAGCCCACAGCGCTGTGTAACTCTGCGCAAAGAGCCGCGGCTGCATTTTTCCAGGAGTAGGGAGTCCAAGTGTCTAGCAAAATACTTTCCAAAGGGCTGGTGACTAGGAAGCAGACAATTTTGTGAAATTTTGTAAAAAAAAAAAAAATGTGAAACTGGCCCTAGCTAGTTTGGCTCTGTGGATAGAGCATCAGCCTGCAGACTGAAGGGTCCCAGGTTCGATTCCAGCCGGGGGCCACATGCCTGGATTGCGGGCTTGATCCCCATTAGGGGATGTGCAGGAGGCAGACCCAGGTTGTGGGCTCGATCCCCAGTACAAGGCAGCCAATCAGTGATTCTCATCATTGATGTTTCTATCTCTCTTTCCCTCTCTCTTCCTCTCTGAAGTCAATAAAGATATTTTTTTTTTTTAATGTGAAAACGTTTACTTAAAAAGGAAAACAGCATGGGCTCCCCTTTCATTCCCGCTCTGTAGCCAAAGTGACAGGTGACTTTCAATTTTTTTTAACCAATTAAAGGTACAGAAACAAATCAAAATTTTTTTCAACTGCAAAGGAGATAAGCTTATTCCCTGAATATCAATGTTTCTAAATTAATGGCTATGGTCATGTAAAGGTTTTAGTGGATGATTACATGGCCATATGAATTCTGAGTTGTCAAAATATACCTTCTTACAAATAATCTTTAAATTATTCAGCTTAAGGCAAGTTAGCCAGTCCCTACATTACTGGAATGACACAGATTTAATCAAACCTTCTTACTGCACTAAAAAAATAAATAAATAATGGAACTGAGCCCTGGCCGGGTGGCTCAGTTGGTTAGAGCGTAATCCCAAACACCAAAAGGCTGCGGGTTTGATTCCTGGTCAGAGCTCATACCTTGGTTGCAATTCAATTCCCAGTGGGGGCAACAAGGGAGGCAACCAATCGATGTCTCTCTCTCTCTCTCTCTCTCTCCCTCTCCCCCTTCCTATCTCTCTAAAAATCAATAAACATATCCTCAGGTGAGGATTATAAAAAAATGAATGAGTTTGAGCGGGGGGAAAAACAAGTAGTAAGTCATTAGCAATGGTTAGATTTTCAAAATCCACTTCTTTTCTGCACTATAATCATTTTAATGTTGTTTTCAGTGCTCATGCAGTTACAGTTTGAAACACTGACGTTGGTCACTAGCTGAGAATAAAACATTTGTGGAAATAAATGTGCAATCTTAGTCTCTGCCATTCTGTCTTACATCCATCCTCGCGGCTGTCTCCCCTTCGGGGCCTCTGCAGGCTGAGACCACTAACACCTGTCGTTCATGAACTCACGGAAGCTCAGACAACCGGTCCCTGGGAGGCTGATGGGGGGACAGGTAAGAAAGCCTCCTGGTCCATCATACCAACCAGGGTTCAGGTCCTGAGTCGGCCCCTCGCCCGCTGCATGATTTGGGTCAAATTACCTCATCTCTTTACACCTCAATCCCTCACCTGCCAGTGGAGATATGATACCTGCCCTCCAACGCCTGCTGGGAGGTAAAACGTACAGAGAGCAGTCAGGACAGGGCCAAGGAAGGTGCTGGGGAAGTTTATAGCTATTTGACCATTATGATGATGATTACTGTCCATAAATTAAGGACAAAAAAGTAGAAATGACCATTAAGGAGAAACAGTTACTTGTCAATAGCCATTTCCTTCCTTTTGGATGGATTACAGTTGTCCTGTTAATTTTTTTTTTTAATAAACCAAGTTGTGTCCATTAATTATAGACTTGTGGGTTCATATATAAATCGGGGGGGGGGGGATTTGTGGCCTCTAACCTTTAATTACTAGGAAAGTCTTTATATATTTTTCCCTTTTTTATTAGGTTTATTGGGGTGACATTGGTTAATAGGATCATATAGGTTTCAGATGTGGGTTTCTATGTTACAAGATCTGTATATTGCACTGTGTTATTGCACCCAGAGTCACATCTTCTGTCACCAAGGAAAGTCTTTAAAAACTGTAAAACATTTTGTCGCAAGAAAGAAAAAAAAACAAAAAACTGTAAAACAGCCCAGCCATTGAGAGTCGACCTATGAACCAGGAGGTCATAGTTCAATTCCTGGTCAGGGCACAGGCCAGAGTTGGGGCCTCAATCCCCAGTAGGGGGTGTGCAGGAGGCAGCCAATCAGTGATTCTCTCTCATCATTGATGTTTCTATCTCTCTCTCCCTTCCTCTCTGAAATGAATAAAAACATCTCTTTTTTTTTTAAGTAAAACAAAAAAAAAAAGAATTAAAGCAAAAATAGGTAGAGACTACAGAATTCTTTTGAAAATAAGATAACTCAACTTTAAGTGGGGCTGAGGGCGGATTTCCTTTTCTTAGAGGAAATCTGCTTGAGAGCCATGCAGCCTGGAAATTTAACACTATTCATGAATTCATATTGCCAACAGCAACAGCACTGACAACAAGACCTGCCGGCATGGACCAGGTGCGGGCATTTCTATGTGTGTCTCACTCAACCTTCCCAGAGCCCTGGGAGGTAGGGACTATCACTCTCTTCCCCAGTTCACAGACAAGATCATTGAGGCAGAGAGATGGCACAGCATGCTCCATCTGCATTTCTGCTGCTGGGCTGTGGAAAGGACCCTGAGATAGAACTTCAAGGCAGAATGTTAAATAGTCGGTTTGTCTGGGCCTCATCTCAGACAGCTGGCGCCCTAAATCCCTGATGTAAGAGGAGGTTGCCAGCGCACGCTGATCATTGTGAAATTAATTTGCAAGATCAAGCAATGTGTGTCCTGTGATCGAGCCTGCTCACGGGCCTGGAGCCTGGTTGCTGGAAGGCAGGGCCGCAGTTTCCGGCCTCCATGCGGCTCACACGGCTCCCCCGGCTCTCACGGAGCCTCAGGGGCACTTCCCCAGAGACCGCCTTCAACACTGAAAAGTGCCCAAGGTTCGTGAGGGTTTTTTTGGCAAAACTACATAAAGACACTTCTCTTCTGCAGACAGAGCAGGTTTTCAAAAAAGCTGAAAACTGTTTCTGCCTCCGTTCAGCAAGCGGGGACGCAGCACTGCCGTAAAAAGCCCTGGAGCCTCACTAGTCGCATCAGCAACACCGTCTCCCTCTCCACACCTGACTTCAGGTCACAGGGGCCACCCTCCAGCCTCGGCACCCCCAGAGGAGACAGAGGCCTGCCTCCCAAGGAGAAAATGAAGCAGGCGTCCGCCTGTCTGGCTATGTGGGAGCTCACAGCGCTGGCAGCTGCCTGGAGAAGACATAGACCTGAAATGCTGTCATCTCGCACCAGAGATGGGAGTTAGCACAACGGGGGGTAAATACTGGTGGCAAGCACAGGAGAGGGAGGAGCAGAGGAAGGATTCTCCACCTCACTCTTCCCTTATCCGCTGTCGGCACTTCTCTCTCCTCTCAAATCGTCAGGAACAGCTCCACCGAAGGGTGAAGTATCTTCAAAAACCATTAGAGTCACGCTAGCTGTTCTGCAGAGAGGGCACCCAGGCTAGGGCTGCAGCTCCGGTGGCTGATACACAATGGTGGTCCCGCCCTCTTTGCTAAGAATGGGGATGGGTTACAGGGGGAAAGGGAATTCAAGGCCTTTCCATCCCATACAAATGAACTACTGCGGACTTTCTCTTTGGGAATAAATATGCTAAAAATCTCACAGAACAAAAGATGCCTGTAGTTTTGTGTCTAGCCTGATCTCTGCAATCATCGTTATTATCTTTGTAACCTATGCCATGTGACCTACACCTCCTGAGCCGTCACAGGCAAGTTCCTTCAGTGAGGGTCGGGGGGTTAAGTTCATTCAACAAGCACAGGTCTCCCCTACCAAGATTGTTTACGCTGCATCAGGGCTAAGAAGCATAAGCCAATCACATGTAACTCACTAAGAGAAATGTCATCACCCGGGAGAATAAGAAACAGTCCCCAGGCCCTGAATTAGCCATTAAAATGGACCTCTGAGGTGAGCTTCACCAAATGCACAGCAATTATAAAGATCCCCAGACACAGAACTTCAGGGTCGGTGGACCCTGAAATTTAGGCAAGTGTCCCAGAAATCCGCCAATCACTGCAATCCATTCATATGATCCGCAAGACTCGAGATGGATAAATATTCAATAAGATCAGAAGGAAACATCTCGTGTGCAAGGATTCTGACCGCACAGACACTACACCTGACTGAAACACTGTCAGGCTTGACTCAGAGGCAGACGGAAACAATGACCCTGCCCGTTCAGGACAGCGACTGAGCCCAGACGAGGAAAGAGCGCGCTCACCTGGTCGGTGTCTGTTGGCTGCCTCGGCAGGAAGTGAGCCCCCCTGGCACCTGCGAGCTCCATTCTTGCCACCGGTCCCACCAGGGTAGTGATAGATGACAGAAGCCGAACACAGCCCTTCCAGGGCAGCTGGGCATAAAAAATAAACAGGACCATCAGTAAGTCAGTGGCCCATTCCCAGCTCAAATCGCAGAGCCTACAAAGGCCCAGGACACTTTACATGGAAATGCCCATTTTCTTCACAACAAAGATCACGCCCACGGTCACTGGTTCTGCGATACACAGGAGCATGCCACCGGTCATCTTCCAGGTGCCACGTCAAGGCTGGCACCCCAGAAAACTCCCACGATGCTCAAGGCTCCACGGAGGGACTGCATCCGCAAGTGAAATGGGCCAGCCCCTCAGCCAGCCAGCCATTCATTTAACCAACAGTGTAGCAGGGGTGGGGAACCTTTTTCTGCCAAGGGCCATTTGGGTATTTATAACATTATTCGCGGGCCATACAAAATTACCAACTTAAAAATTAGCCTGCTATACACATATGTAATACCCTTTGTAATAAAAAATTTAAAAAAAATTAGCCTGCTATAGAAATAGTCAATAAAAACTGATTTGGACATTTTTAAAAAATTAAACTGCTATATTTGGTCAACATTTAATTAACTCACCTGTAATGTATTGGCAGGGCCAGACCAAATGATTTCTCAGGCCTTATACAGCCTGTAGGCCGGACGTTCCCCACCCGTGGTTTAGAGCTTACTGGGTGGCAGGTGCTGTGCCAGATTCTGACACTGTGATGTGCGGGAAGTGCCCTGCACTGACAATATTTAAAAGTAATGCCATTAGCCCTCGCTGGTTTGGCTCAGTGGATAGAGCGTTGACCTGTGAACTGAAGGGTACCAGGTTTGATTCCAGTCAAGAGCACATATTCGGGTTGCGGGCTTGATCCTCAGAAGGGGGCAAGCAGGAGGCAGCCAATCAACGATTCTCTCTCATCACTGATGTTTCTCTCTCTCTCTCCCTCTCTCTTTCTCGCTGAAATCAATAAGAATGTCTTTTTTTTTTCCGGGCTACTTTTATTTGTTTTTAAAACTATGTATTAAAGGGACGCGTTGAGCTGTTTGGGTTGGGAGCCTCGAGGGGTGGAGGTGGGGCAGGGTGGGCAGGAAGGGGAGCAGAGACAGGCCGGCTCCTGGGTGAACTGGGTGAGGCGGTGAGGCGGGAGGTGCCAGGGGGAGGAGCGCTGGGCTGCCCTCTGGCCCTGGGGGAGGAGCTGGGGGCTCCTGGCTGGGGAGGAGGAGGGGAGGGCTCTCCTTTGTCTAATCAATTAGGAACGTTTACAGCTCACCCAGAGAGAACAGGCCAACGAGTAAAAGAAGGGAGCTCAGCAAAGAAAACACGTGGAGGGTGAACCAGACTCAATTACAAAACTTTCGGAGGAGCGAGCAGTTCGGTTTGGCCTGATTTTTGTGAAGAATGTCTTTTAAAAGTAATGCCACCAAAGCAGGACCAGAATGTCTTTCCACTTCAGACACCCCAAATGCATCCGTTCCACTTGGAGCAAACACCTACAGGCGTGCCTCCTCCTCAAGGGCGGCCACATTCACCTGGAGTACATTTCCTTCTGCTGCCACTGGCAGTTATGGCCTAAGAATCTCAGGCAAGGCCACGTGCCCTGTAAGTTGTGCAACAGTTGTGCTCATCTCATTCATTAGCATAGCAGTTCCCAAATTTTTTGGTCTTAAAATTCTGACATGCTAAGAAAATACTGAGTTTCACAGAGCGCTGTGTGTGTGTGTGTGTGTGTGAGTGTGTGTGTGTGTGTGTAGGCTACAGCTGGAGATATTTACTGTATTCAAAAATAAAACCACAAAAGGATTTAAGTATTTATGTGGCAACTCCTTTTTCTTTTTCTTTTTTAACATATTTTTATTGATTTCAGAGAGGAAAGGAAAGAGAGAAAAAAACATCAATGATGACAGAGAGTCATTGATCAGCTACCTCCTGCACATCGCACACTGAGGATTAAGCCCACAACCTGGGCATGTGCCCTGACTGGGAATTGAACCCTGACCTCTTGGTGCACGGGACAAAGCTCACCCACTGAGCCACCCGGCTGGGCAGCATTTCATTCATTTCTACGTCTACTCCACCATCTGGATATACTGCACTGTACTTATCCATCCACCTGCTAACGTATGGACGAGGTGTTGAAGAATGAGTGGTGGGGGGATGGCATTCTAAGCAGAGGGCGAGATGCTAAAATTAAAAACAAGAGGACCAGGGAATCAGGACTTTGTAAAAGAAGGGCACCACCTGGGTGGGGAGTGCCAGAGGTGAGGCCGGGACGCTGCCAGGCCACTGCCCACTGCCCCCAGCAGGCTGCCTGCTTCTCCTGCCCATCCCTTGTGTTTAGGCCCATTTTTTCTGTTCTCTCATTTCAGGTAACAGCTGCCATAATCACATATCTGACAGCTTCGTCACATCGCCTTACCGCCGAGCCACAAGAAGTCGTTCACGGCGCGGAGCAGCTCCACGGCCATGTGGTAGTGCACCAGGGAGTCCTGCAGCATGCCCGCCTGCAGGCACAGGTCCCCCACGTGCTTCCGCATGCGCCCCTGGCACCTCTTCTTGTAATGTCTGAAAGATAAAACGTGTGGAAACACATCACTGCGAAGGCCCGACTTCTGCCCCCCCGGCACACTGGCTAAGCAGCTACGCAGCTCTCTCACGACAAAAAAAAAAAAAGCTACAAAGGCAACTGGAGGCTCTACCAGGACAGCCAGCAGCCATCATTGCCAGTATGCGAGCTGGAGCGGTCCTGGCGTCTAAGTTATTTTTTCAGTGTCACGGGGAGAAACAACTCCCACCGTGTGTTTCATCTGGGCAATATGAGCGCAGGAGTTTTCTTTTCAGATGTTCTGATCACAACATTAGCACAAAAAAGTATGTTGCAGCTTTTTAAAAACACGATTAACTTCCACTTCCTTAACTACAAACGTATTATTATTTTATAAAGAGAGTGAGGCTGCCTATTACATGCCAAGCATTTGGCTTCTGCAAACAAGACCTGGATCTTCACGATTTCAGAGTGAGCGTTAGTAATGCTTTGCACGGGCGGGGCCTGGGCGCTGACAGCTCTTTAAATGTTGGCAAGGATGTGCCATTAAATAATGCAAAGCCTTTGAATTCCATGTCAACTCAGAAACCAAAGAAACTACACCAAAAGCTTCCTTCATCATTTTTAAATAATCTCTTGACTATTAAATTTCTTAGAAGATATGATTTTTTTTAAGAAAAGTCACAGCTATAGTAACTCTTCCCTGACCATGGAAAGCAATAGGATCAAGAGTAAAAACCTGGATGGAAATCCAGAAGATGGGAGGTGTCCAGCTAAACAAATGTTACTGGCAGGTCTCAATACGAAGTTACATCCTATCAGATCTAACTCTAATGAGCTCCACAAACTCTTTTTCTTTGGCTACCCTGGAATTTAGCTTTTCTGTTCCAAATACTCAGACCATCACATAAGGCAGAGAGGGATAGAAGGGGACTCACCAGTCTCCTTCCCGTCCCTCCGATGTCCCCGCTCACAAGCCCTCCCCACAGGAAAGTGCTACATCCATTCGCCTCTGCCATCCCAGCAGGACATGTCATCTCTCCCCGCCACGGGTCACCTCAAGAGCCTTCTATGTTCGTCTAACCCCCTGTACTGACCACACACACACACACACACACACACACACACGCTCAGCATAACCTTCCCAAAGCACTTCAAAACCTTCAAAGGTTCTCCAGTTCAGGTCCAGCCCCTCTCACTACTTCCCCACACCCCACAGCCACACTGCAGTACCGGGGTCCCCTGTGACCTGACCCTTTCACCTCGCTACTGCCCACTCTCCTTAGGTCTCAGTGTGACTGTCAGTTTCTCACGTGAGCCTTCCCTGCCTCCAGCTTCTGCACGCTGGGCTAGGAGTCCCTGCTGTGTTCCTAGAACACTCTGTGCTGAATCAACTTCTGGTATCTGTAAGCTCCAAAAAGGCAAGCATGTTTTGCTTAATATTGTGTATCCACCCTTCTTCCCCCGGACACTCAAAATCAAATGAATGGATGGGTCGCAAAGGTACGCGCAGCCGCTCCTGCGCACCCCACTCCTTCCTCCAGACAGCAGCGGCGGGACTACCGCTCCCCAAGGTCACCCCTGCTGGCAGCCTTCTCTGCCACCTGAGCCCCCTCCCAGCCCCTTCACCTGGCTCACTTCGACTTTATCTTGAAAAGTCAATGCAGAGCCCTCTCCCACCAGGAAAGCTTCCCCGGAAATCCCTCTAGCTCTCAGCTGGGCTGCCCTCCATAACAGGTCGGCCTAGTTACTCTCTGGGTGTCTGTCCATCCCTTCCATCGAGACCATGACCTCTAGGAGGGCATTTGGGAAGAGGAGAAAGAGAGATGAAGGAAAGGATAAGAAAGAGCGAAATCACAGGCCAGCCTGGCCAGTGTGGGCTCAACTGGTTGAGTGTCATCCCACGCATCAAGAGGTCACTGATTCGATGCCCGATGAGGGCACGAGCCCAGGTTGCAGGCTTGATCCCCCGTGGGGGGCCTTCAGGAGGCCGCTGACCAATGTTGATGCTTCTCTCTCACCAATGTTTCTATCTCTCTCCCTTCCTCTCTAACTAAAATCAATAAAAACATTTTTTTTTAATCACAGCCCAGGCCCCAAAGTCAAGTATTCTCACAAATGTGCACACGCCACTGGAGCTGTCAGGGAAAAGGCTCACTGAGCACCTGTTCAGCATCTCACTCTGAGATCCACGTGATGCGCTGCAGAGGAACGCCTCTCTTCACCTGATGCGAAATAACGGAGAATCATACAAACGGCACCCAACTTCAGGCGCAGCGCCCTGTCCCCCTGAGAAAGTGGATCCCTCTGCCCGGCGCAAAGCTTTGCCCGCCCACACGAGGGCAGGGTGGGGCTCCCTCACCTGCTGTGCTCTCCTGCTCTAATCAGGAAAAGAACTGTGTCCAAAACCAAGTTCTCTTCCCCCAACAGTGACATGATTCTCCACTTGTAACACGTGGCTGAGTTTACCAGTACTACCGTTATACTGACCCACAGGAGATTTTGAATTAGACTTGATTTTTTCATGGAATTTACTCCTAACCTGATAGAGTAAAATCTGCTTTAAAGCATTCTACTTGAACGCTTCAAAAAAAAGTAAATTATTGCCTCTTCCCAGCACAGGACACTGCAGGCTCGCTCACAGCGTGGGAGCCACTGCCCTCTGAGAGGGAGGTCTCCCCCGCCCAGTCACTTAGGGAAAGCACGTTAAGTCTCCTGAGGTGGTGCAGGAGAGGGGCCTGACGTCTGGGAGTGACCTCGGCTTGTGGCATACCTGCATGGGGCAGCTGGAGAGAAAGGAGGAACCCAGCAAGGCCACTCTCGCACCGATCCCCTGGGAGCGGGTGAGTGACCACAAAGGCCCTGCGGTCCGGGGCATGACCAGCCCTCACGGGATCCCCACCACACATTTTCCAAGCCGCACAGCTTCAAGTTCTGGAACCTGCTACACTTATTTGTGTTTTGTTCTCCCCGCCCCAGAATGTGACCAAATCTTGCAGGAAGGCAGCCTGTCTCAATTGAGGTGAAAGTGCTCACACTTGGACCAAAGCATTAAAGAGCCAGGCCTCCTGGCCATGGTGGTGGCAAAACCTTTCCCCACGGGGTGGGATGAGTCCTAGGTCACCAGAGATGGTCCCTTCGGGACATGTCCCTCAGTGACACACATCAGCCTCAGCACACACAGAAACAGCCACTTCCGGCCAACACAGGGTTCAAGGTAAAGGCTGCTGCAGGTAAGGGCCGTACAACCACGGAAGGTGAAACGCGTGTCTGGCTCTGCCCGCTTATTGGCTGGCGAGTGGGCACCAGGGTCAATGAAAGGTCCTGGTGTCCACAAGGACCGTGAGCTGGCTGCATATGAGCAGCCGTACCTTCCTGACACTTGGAAAAGTCACCCTCGGAAAGGGGCAGAAGACTGGTGTTGATTTTCAAGGAGCCTCCGCCCCTTCGTAGGTTGCTAAGGCGAAGCGAAGTCCTGGCATGCTCAAGGGGAAAGCAAGAGAAACTCCGGGGGCCGCTTCCTCCAACGGCGTCCCTTTGCTGGTGACCGTGGCCACGAAACCCCGCCATGCACACAGCCGCAGCCAAGAGCCACGTGCCAAATGCGCTCAGTTAAAAGCCAGAATCAAGCAAGGCGCTCGGCCTTCTAGGTTAAAGCCGCCCAGGAGAGAGCCCTCGCGGCCACCGGAAACAGCATCTCCCTTCCTCGTATGAATGAAAAAATTAATACAGGCTCGTTGGTTACAAATACTAAGTAAGAACAACAAGGTCCCCAAAGCAAGTATTTCAACAGAGACCACACACCGGCGGGTTACATGCTAAAGCAGCTAATAAAATTTTAGAAAATAAAAGGATGACCAGGATGCTACACGGGTCAAGGCAGCAGCAAGGTTCTGTTCTGAAAGCGATGGAGGCGAGGAGGAGGCAGCACGGATGGAAATCTAGCTACTTTCCAAGCAGAATGTTCCCAGCCTACCTTTTCAGACCCAACAACATACTCACAGGGCGGTATGAGAGAAAGGAAAAGGAAAAGAAAGGAAAGAGGAACAAGCAAAAATTAGAAACACACAAGAACAAAAATAACTTTGGCAGCTACGACTCTCCATGTCCAGGAATTTGAATTTACAGCGGGCGCCAAGGAGGCTGGGGACACACGCGAGTTCTAAGTAAGACCCACCCACTCCTGGGCTCCCGGGGGCCTGGGCCTGAAGTTAACGGCATCTGCCAGGAAGCCCATCAGGGGGTCAGTTCGCCAAACCCAAGCGGGACCTACTCCTGGACATTTCCGTTTGGGCTACAAAATCCTATCTCATCTCCCCTCTACGCTTTGTATCAATCCTGCCCCAAAGCACTGTGGTAAAGGTGAATGACTATGGAGCCGTGGAGGCCACAGCAGGTTACCAGTGACTAGAGGGGATGGGTCTGATTGGGGGTCACTGGTATCCCACTGGAGTTCAAATGACGCTGAGTGTTTGGAGAGCGGTTAGAATAGGATGGGCCGTGTGTCTGCAGCCTCGAAGCCTAGAAGTTGATAAGCAAAAGTCACCCAGCGGCCTGTGCAGTGGGGAGAAGCCAGTCCCTGCCACCCGCAGGCTGTGGTGACATGGGGAGGACAGGGAGCCCTGTGCACTATGCAGCCCCATTCCATAAGGGATGAGCCATCTGACAGCCCAGGAGGCTCAGCAGCTCTGCCCTCGACAGCTGCCCAGGCTCCTAAACCAGCCCCTCAGCTCCAAGGAGTGGGACGGGAGCGCTGGCACATGATCACAGGGCCCCTGCCATCCAGCATGTGTCATGGGTACGGCATGCCTTGTCCTTCCCTAAAACCTTATAACGTGTCCGGGGAGGAAGTAAAAATTACTCCAGACCCTGCAAGGCACCATACACAGCCGTGATGGGCTGATCTGCGCTTCTCACTGGCAGAGCTGGCCTGGGCCATTTTTTTCTCAATTCTGTGACATTTTCTCTGCCAACTTAGCAACCACCAGAAAGGCAGTGTTGGACCTTAGGGTCCTTTCAAAAAACACACTGAGCGTCAACTTGCAGCAGGCCTTAGCCTGTGTGCACATGTCAGTGACTCCTCACCTGCGAGACCATCGTCTGAAGTCTACATTGGAGGGAGGAAAGACGCAGAGTGCCCAAGGCAGGAAGCCCAGGCCACATGGCTCCCCAGCTCCCCTAGCAAAGGGGCCACGTCTTAGCAAGCAGTGGTAGCCCTGACTTGCATCTAGTCCTCTGCTGGACAGATGCCGCCCTGTCTGACCACGGACACAGGGAAGAGGGAGACAGGGAAGCGGGAAGAGGGAGAGAGGGAGACAGGGAAGAGGGAAAAGGGAAGAGGGAGACAGGGAAGAGGGAAGAGGGAGAGAGGGAGAGAGGGAGAGAGGAGAGAGGAGAGAGGAAGAGAGGGGAAGGGCCCAGAAGAGCTCATCTGCAATTCCAGTGCAGAGTGAAGCTGTCGACTTAACCGCAGGGAAAGCGTGAGGACCGACCTGCCCCAGCCACACTCCCTGTTCTGCAGACACTGGAAACACAGTCCCATCTGAGTAAGGAGCCCTCCGGGAAGTCCCTGGGGGTGTCCCTGAGATCCTGGGTCTGGCACTGTGGCTACCAAGTGGCAAAGTGGGGTTGACCCATGCACGATACCCGGTCTGGGCACCGGGAGACACGGGTCCACTTCCAGCTCAGAGGGCACCTGGTTCTGCCACCTCTCCGGACTCGGCCTCTCTTCTATAACCACGGATGACCCTGAAGAAGTAAGTTTCATCTGGGCTCTAGGGCAGCGCTGTCCAACAGGCATACAATGTGCGCCACATGAGTAAACTTTTCTAGTTGCCACATTCAAAAAAGCAAAAGCAAAAGTAAATTATTGAAACTGATTTAATAACTTATTTTATTTAACCTAATATATGTAAAGTATTATAAATCTGACATGTAGTCAATATTAAAACATTAATGAGGTATTTTACATTATTATTTTCTGTTCTAAGTCTCCAAAGCTGATGTGCATTTTTCTTACAGCACATCTCGGCTCAGACTAGCCTCCTCCCTGGTGCTCAAGAGCCACAGGGGCTCTGGCCGCTGTACTGGACAGCAGCTCCGTGGGGTCCCACTAGGGGACGCGGCTGAAAAGGGGGAGTCAGTGTGCACACTAACCCTAAGAGGATTTCCCTGAGGCAAAGGCTGTCCCGTTTTGAAAAGGCTAAACACGAATGGACTGCACCTTTCTACCCTTTTCTGCCATGAAGTTCCACCCGGGTCCCTTCTGGGTGTCAGGAAGCCCCCCAAGTTCGCAGCCGGGACCCCGGGCCTCCAGGTGAACTTACCTACTGTCCGTATCCAGGCCGACAAAGTCCTTCTTCTCGAAGGGGACACAGAGCAGGGGCACCTTGTCCCCGGACTTGTCGGTGGCCCTGTCCAGACGCTTGGACTCGAGCACAATGAACAGCGACTCGATGAAGTCCTCGATCCTCTTCTCCACGCCCGGGCAATCCTCGTAGCTGGGGTAGAAGGCCACGTCGGTGCGCGGCTGCTCGGCGATCTCCCCCTGCAGCCCGAAGACGAAGAGCCTGGAGTCGTAGAGGGTGGAGCCGTAGATCTCCTTCTGCATGTGGAACTTCTCGAAGGTCTGCGGCCAGTCCTTGGCCGAGCAGCAGTCGGTGATGGTGACGAGGCCCACGACCTTGCGGTGGGTCTGGAAGTCGCCCCACTCGTTGTTCTCGGGCGGGTAGTGGTGCCGGTAGCGGATGTACAGCACGCGCTGGGAGTCCCGCACGCTGATCTGGCTCACGGAGCAGATCCTCTTGTAGATCCGGAAGAAGTTCTCCTCCGAGACGACCCCCACAGGCTGCACCACCACGAGGAGCGTCTGGTGGTCCTCGGCGCACTGCATGTAGTCCGGGACGCTCATGGCGCAGTCCCTGCCCAAAGACACGGAAGGAGACTTTGAGGCGCACGCGGTTGGTTGTGAGGGCTGCTTAGGGATGGGGACTGACGCTGACCCCCTGGGAGGCAGGGAACACCCCACGCAAAGCCATGGAATACAGCGTGTCCCCCGAGTTCTGCAGATGACTGCCACAGCTCCCACCACAGTCCCCCCACTCCTGGACTGGGCCCCGAGCTCCTGCAGAAAAGGGGCTGCCCCTCATTTCCTGCTCCCGCCCGGCCGGGCACTGGTGCCGTCAGTGCTCAGGCACGTCTGCTGAAGGGAGGAAGGAACGAATGCGAAGACAGTGAGAAGCACAGTGGGGCCCAAAGGTCTGGACTTGAACCCAGGCCGCCTAAGCCCCTAAGCTGCAAAATCATGGAGGTAGGAAAACGTGCCTTATGAGACGCTATCTGGGCTCGGGAAGGTTGCTAGGTGACATACCCAGCACACTGCCTGACAGAAAAAGAGGGGTCCTACACATTTACCATCCCTCCGTTATAAATGGTGGTACCCTGGGAGAGCTTTCGTAACCTGTCTGAGCCAATACTGTCGGATATCGAAAGGAAACGAGAGTACATGATTAGCAGCACTGCTGAAGAATTAAATTAGATTCCCCATAGGAAAGTATCTGGCCCAGAGAGGGAGAGAGAAAGTGTTTGTTGAATGAATGAGCGAATGAATGAATGACCAAATGAACTGAATACCGCCCCCTCCCAGAGACCATCACAATGGAAAGGGAAATGCCAGGAAATATGAAGACCACGGTCAACTCCTGACTCTACAGCAACCATGCGGGTGACCAGGGGGCAGGCCTGTCTGCGTCTCTAAACCCCACTTAAATGATGAATAAAAATGAGGATAATCACACAAGCCTCAGAGGGCTAGTGAGTGGACGCTCTGGTTTTGATATTGGACCAGAGTGTGGCCGGCTGGCACCACCGGGGGGAACTGGGCACAGGGTCTGTAGGCTCTCTCACTGTTATTTCTTACAGAAGCATAGAAATCCATACCATATCTCCAAATTAAAATGCTAATTTTTTAAAAAGATACTGAGATGAAATGAGGTCTCTCAGCCTGACCTGCGCCCTCTCACAATTTGGGACCGCCGAGGGATGTAGCAGTTCCGAGGTGGCAGGTGGCCAGGGAGGAGCCCCAGGCAGGGCCGGGTGCAGCTCCACTGCCGCTCATCCTGGCCTTGCTGCGCCTGCTGCCGGTTTTGCTCAGTGGATAGAGCACAGGCCTGCGGACTAAAGGGTCCTGGGTTCAATTCATGTGAAGGGCACATACTTCAGCTGCAGGCTCCCGGCCCTGGTCGGGGGCATCGCGCAAGGCAACCAATCCATGTGTCTCTCTCACATCGGTGTCTCTCCCTCTCCCTTCCACTCTCTCTAAAAAGCAATGGAAAAAATATCAGGTGAGGATTATAAAGAAATAATAAAACTAAAAATATATTTCTCACCCAGCCAGTGGGGCTCAGTGGTTGAACATTGACCTATGAGCCAGGAGGTCATAGTTCAATTCCCAGTCAAGGCACATGCCCAGTAGGGGGCGTGCAGGAGGCAGCCGATCAATGATTCTCTATCATCATTGATGTTTCTACCTCCCTCTCCCCTTCCCTTCATCTCTCTGAAATCAATAAAAACATATATATCTACATATAGATATAGATATAGATATAGATATATAGATTATATATACATATATAGATAGATAGATTATATATATATTCTTCACCTTTGTAGTCCCTCAAAAAGTTAAATAGTTACCATATAACAAGCAATTCTACTCCTAGGTACATACCAAAGAGATTTGAAAAACCTATATCCACACAAAAACTAGCTCACAAATGTTTGTAGCAGGATTATTCATAAAAGCCAAAAAATGGAAACTGCAAGAACATCCATCAGCTGATAAAGGAAACAGTCTGGCCCTGACTGGTGTGGCTCAGTGGATAGAGCGTCGGCCTGAGGACTGAAAGGTCCCAGGTTCGATTCCGGTCAAGGGCACGTACCTTGGTTGTGGGCACATCCCCAGTAGGAGGTGTGTAGGAGGCAGCTGGTCGATGTTTCTAACTCTCTATCCCTCTCCCTTCCTCTCTGTAAAAAAAAATCAATAAAATATTTTTTTTTAAAAGAAAAGTCTGTCCACACAATATTACTCAGCGATAAAAAGAAACAAAGTACACATACACCTGCAACATATGACCCTTGAAAATACTGTGAAAGAAGCCAATCACGAGAGGCCGCATATCCTATGATTCCATTTATATGAAACTAGAGGCCCTGTGCACGAAGTCTGCATACTATGCTTTTATTATATAGGATGTCCCAAAAATGCAAATCCATAGACAGGAGGTAACCCCGCGGCTGCTGGGCAGCGGAGGGAAGGCATGAAGGCCCATGATAGGGGACTTCCTCCTGAGTGATGAGATGTTCTGGGATAATCGTGGTGCCCGACAGTGACGACACTGAAACGTGTTCCCTTTATGTGGGTGGATTTTATGGCACGTGAACACTCTCTCAGGAAAGCTGTTACCTGAAAACTACCTTTTTTTTTTTTTTTAAGAATAGATTCTCTCTCTTTTTTTATGTTTTATTGATTTTTTACAGAGAGGAAGGGAGAGGGATAAAGAGTTAGAAACATCGACCAGCTGCCTCCTGCACACCCCTAATGGGGATGTGCCCACAACCAAGGTGCATGCTCTTGACCAGAATTGAACCTGGGACCCTTGAGTCCACAGGCCGACGCTCTATCCACTGAGCCACACCGGTTAGGGCTGAAAACTATCTTTCTTGACACCACTCTTCCCTCTATACCAGCGGTTCTAAACCTTCTGGCCCTTTAAATACAGTTCCTCATGTGGTGACCCAACCATAACGTTATTTTCGTTGCTACTTCATAACTGTCATGTTGCTACTGTTGTGAATCGTCATGTAAATATCTGATACGCAGGATGGTCTTAGGCGACCCCTGTGAAAGGGTCGTTCGACCGCCAAAGGGGTCGCGACCCACAGGTTGAGAACCGCTGCCCTAGATGCTGAATCTGCCACACAATTTGAGGAACACAAACAAGACAAACCAGACCTCGCCAGGGGCTCCCAGAGGCCGCAGTGTCAGGGCGCCAGCACCTGCCCTGAGGGCACGCAGACCTCGCCTGGGGCTTCCTGGCACCTGCCCGCGGGCACACAGACCTAGGCTGGCACCTGCCCGCGGGCGCTGCAGGGCCTGACGGTAGCTGGACCTGCAGGCTGTCAGGGGCCTGGCCTCGGCTTATGGACCCGAGCGGCCGGCAGGCTCCGCAGTGTGAGCCGGGCCATGACCTGTGGCGCAGCCCCTGGGCGCCCAGCAGGAAGGCCCCTGGCCCACATCGCGCAGGAGGGAGCCTGCGACGCCCCTCCCAGTGGGGAAACCGGGGTGCCCACACTTCCACACGCACAGGGTCCCCCCACACTTCCACACGCACAGGGTGCCCACACTTCCACACGCACAGGGACCCCCC